TCAGGGTAATACATAGACTGTATTTCGGCTGCTAGAGGCACTTTACATTGCTTTCATTTCGTTCCCGCAGAGATGTGCCACAGCTGAACTTGCGGTGGTGATTAACGATAAACTTAATTTTTAACACTTTTTCAGGTTCCCYCGAGTTACAATGATGATGTATATCCTTTCTCGTATGCCACTGTTTCCGAGACCGACTCTTTAAACATTAAAATAAAAAGAAGTGGAGATGCAGATGTCAAAATCATGAATGATCAAAAGTAGGTAGCTCCTTGATACAGGCGATAGGCAAAAAGACGGAGGTAGGCGAAAAGCAGCTGGAGATAGGTCATTCTAAGATCTAAGAATAGCTGTAATAACTTGTGTTTCTGCTTCCTTTTCTCGTCAAGAACATGGACCTTGGTGCTAAAACTCATTCAATGTTCTTTGTATTCAACAAAACCTATCGCCTATCGCCTTTGGCGATGACAATGCTTTTTCGAATTAGGTGCATACGTTGCGTATGCTTGCGTATCATTCACGATCGTTTGCAGTATGTTGCTACATAGTTAATGGAATGGTTAGGAAACTCCATAGAACAAATCTATTGTTTTGCCTTGGATGTTGGATCGTACCATCTCGTGTTACTGACGGTTCACAATGGACCAAAGCAAGTATGGCTGAAAATGCTCATTTCCTTATTATTTTCATGTATAAAAACTTTCATTCCATGACCAAAAACCATGCGAATGAATATTTCCGCGCAGATACAGTTAAGATACTAGATGATAAATAAGAAAGTATGAAAAAAGGCAATTTTATTTTAAATAAACGATTAATATTAATCATATAGGATTAATTAACAAATATTACATATCCTAGAACGATTTTAAAGGGTAAAAAACTTTTATATTCCCTAATACTGTGAACAAATGGAGAAACTTTTCCTTCACTGTGCACTGTCAACGTCATATAACAATGAATAAAGACGAACAAAACATAGAACAATAGGCTTCCTAACCATTCCGATTCATTAACTATGGTTGCTATTAATATACGTGTTTAATGTTCTAATTTTAGGACGCTTCGTTTCGGAGTTGTTCGGGATAACAAATGGCAACATTACTGCCTTACTTGGAATGGAGAAGATTTAACAAATTCGGGAAAGGTTTTGTACTATCGCAATGGTTTGCTGTCAGACCAAGCCAAAGACTTGAGCAAGGACGACAAGCTACTGAGTGGAGGAAAACTCATCATTGGACAGTTACAAGGAAGTTACGGTGGAAACTTCGACGATAAAAAATTGATGGTTGGCAGCTTAGCTGGACTTAATATCTGGGACAGTGTGTTTAGTGCACAGGACGTGAGCAACCTCTACAACACGAGCTGCGTTGGAATAGCGGGAGGAAATGTTGTGTCTTGGTCTGATATCATTGAAGGTCAATTAGAAGGAAGTACTACAAGATCCTGCCCTACTACCTGCCCGTCTGGGTGATGCATTGGGTGCACTTACAAGTATAAAACAGCATAAATACAAAGTATGGAACAATGTTTTTAACATTTGCCTCCAACTTTATTGACTGATTCATTAAAATCAATTAAATTATTAGCCTTATCATTTTTTGCTATGAGTGATTAAAAATATTTGGCCATGCAAACGCCCTAGGGGGTGTACTCGGGTGGGTAACATGACGGGGGGGTCCGACGGAGCTTCATATTGCAACCCCAAAAAAATACTCAAACCTGAAATTTTACGCCCAAAAAAATACATGGCATCCAAATTTCTGACTCAAAAAAACTCAAAACTTAAATACTTCAAAACTGATTCATTGAATTCAATAGGCTCTTCAAATAATTTTCTAATACAAAAATCGAACTCGGAGATGTGACGATCACCCAAAAAAATACGGGTTTCATTTCGAGACCCAAAAAAATACGTGGCTGGTCTCTTGACCCAAAAAAATACCGGGAACGAAAATTGTCAACCCAAAAAAATACGTCGGACCTCCCCGTCATGTTACCCATCCAAGTACAGCCCCTGGGGCAAACACCTTAATTGTACAGTGCTGGAAGACCTGGAAGATTGTATATAAAAATGTGTAATTTTAAATGTGATTATTTATATTTAGATGAAATACAAAGTAGATTTACCAAGGACCTTCTTTGTAGAATTGTATTGGAGTATTGTATATAGAACATGTTTGATGAATTTATGAATTTATTCATTCATATTTGGTTTTGTCTGAAATACACGGTACAACAGAAAATGGAACCATGGACTTTAGTTGTACAGTGCTGGTGGAAGATTGTATTATCTAATTTGTGATTGTGTCCTAAAATACACAGTAAATCTGAGAAGTTTGACCAAGGACCTTAATGTGTACTGTTTCCTAAAAGATTGTATATATAGTATGTGATAAAGTGGTTAATATAACATCTATATTTAGTTTTGCCTAAAATACACGAGAAGTTTGACAAAGTACCTTGCGTGTACATGTGTCCTGCAAAATTGTATATATAGTAATGTCTAATTTGTGAATGTGGACATCTATATTCAGTTTTGCCTAAAATACACGGTAGATCTGAGCCAAGTTTGACCAAAGACCTTATATGTGCAATGTCCTGGAAGATCGTTGTTCCATTGTATATAGCTCTTATTAACCATGTGAGAGTAACGTGCCATAAATTATTGAACCTKGTTTTTGCCATTGCCTTATTATGAAGGTACAAATAAGTTTGTTTTGCGTGCTTTGTTTTTTAAAAAAACTGCTACTTTACTTTGAAAAAACAAAAACATTCAGTGCACTTTCGAAGATGTAGTTAATATRRGCATGRTATTTRTCATGTTGTTGATGGCCAYTACAAAATGAAASTKTAAAAAAGATTWTCTTATTGTGAAACGCTTTGCCCAATCAAAGATCGAGTAAAAGTAAAAAAAAAGGTTTCAACATTTGAATGAAGTTTATAGAAAGAATAATGAAGAAAATAAAGGGTTATTGTCCAGTTCAAAAGAACACTTAATTTTTTTATTTTTAAATTTGTCTTTCCAATAATATTAATTTGGCCCTTTTTTTTCCTTTTTTAATTTTTTCCCCATAAATATAACTCACATTTTAATCTTTTAGGAGGCGTTCACGAGCAAATCCGTTTCCCAGATTTTATGGCACGAATGGTGAGGGCCCCAGGTATGGCATCATTGGAACTACCACAGGGTGACCATAATCATTTTACACAGACGTTGATGAAATCACTTCACACAGGGTTACTGTGAAAGGTTAAGTGCACACACCCAATGATATGCATGTTTTATGCATATCAATGACTTTCACTAACCGTACGGATCGTGAGCCACAGACGATACGTATCAGTTCGACAGTATTGGACATACATGTCCCATCCATACCTAGTTATCATACAATGGTCTCCTCCCTACCTATAGTTATCATTCAATGGACCTTTTCCTACCTAGTTATCATTCAATGTTCCCCTCCCTACCTAGTTATCATACAATGGTCCCCTCCCTATCTATTTATCATACAGTGTTCCCCTAACTACCTAGTTATCATACAGTGTTTCCCTCCCCACCTAGTTATCATACAATGGTGTCCTATCCTCCCTACCTAGTTATCA